TCACCCATGATCAGCAGCTTGCCTGCGCATGCATGACTCTTCGCCACTCTAGCATGTGTCAACCATCGCTCTATTGCTCTCGTCGTAGATCTGCCTTGGACTTCCTCTGTTCGTGGTGGGTTATACATCACTGCTATTACCACCTTGGGACCCTCCAGAGTGAAGTGTTCCCTACTATGGAATCACTTTCCTCCTCCCAATCTTCTACTCTCCCACTCAATCAAAATTCCAGCGCTTTTTGATCAGCAACGCCCACTCCTCCACTCCCCCCTGTTCCCTCTGTCTTTCCTCAGGATTTGGTATCCCGTTGTAAAGATGGCTCTGTTTATCATACCTGTAAGCTTGGTTTCTGTGATAGCTATGATGTCCGGGATGCTTCCTTGACACTTCTTTGCCACTCTCCCCACTTATTTGTTATTCCCGTCACGTTTGTGTACCAAACCTTTCAGTTTCCTTTCCACACTGTGGTTTGGGGGCCGTGAGGGTGGATACCTGAGGATGCATACCTGTGGGGTTCTATACCCTTGGTGTTAGGGGTGGAGGCTGTGGGTTGGAGTGTAGGTGTGTTGGGAATGGTGTTGTTGTGTGTGTGTGTGTGTGTGTGTGTGTGTAGGGTGTGTGTGTGTGTGTTGTTTATATATATATATATAATATATATATATATGCATGTGCAGTGGTGACCTATGTGTAAGTAAGAAGTTAGCAAGATGTACCTGAAATCTTGCATGTTTATGAGACAAGAAAGACGCACCAGCAATCCTACCATCACATAAAAGAATTACAAGTTTCGGTATACACTCATGACTTATATACAGCCACTCCTCACATCGCGACTCACTTGTTTTAACACGACACCTCAGACTTACGAACGGGCACTCTGAGCAGAAATTTATATCAAAATAATTTATATTAGAACTGATTTCCTCTATTCTGTGTATTTCAGTATACAGTACACTACTATATAAACATTTAAAAATATACCAGAAATGTTATAAATGGTGCAAAGGTGACATTAAAACAATATAAAAGATGGTTAACACAAATCCACTACCATTAGAGTATGCGCTTCGCTTAGCAACGAATTCATTTAACAACGCGGCCTTAGGAACAGAACTCCATCTTCAGGTGAGGAGAGGCTGCATATATCTGAAAAACAGCATCTAAGTTCCCTTTAACATTAAGAAATCAGAGAAATATTTGGGAAAGGGTATAACTGAGGTTACCTTTAAATGCAAACAACCCCTCCAGAGAGAAGCCAGGAGGAAAGTCAGTAAAGTTGTGAGAAAGAGAGAGAGAAATGACAATTCCCTATTACCATATATATGTAGACACACAGAGGGGACAACAAATTTTAAGATTCCACCTAGACTGGCAATCTCAAAATTCCAAACTCACATACAGCAAATATCCAAGAAAAGCCTCCAAAACAATAGGCTATTAACTCAAGATTATGGTACCATGTAACCCATCAGCTCTTTGTGTAATATACCCATTACTCATCTACCCTTACCTCGCCATGGTATTTGTCATGGGGCATCATCCACAGCAAATCAACCTTAAACCTTTAATAACCCCACAAAAAAACTGCAGTGCGATGGATTACACACTCCTGCAATAGACAGCATACTCCCTCACTTTACAAGTCTCAACTTACACAATATACAAAACTTTCTTTCTTTCAAACACACCGGCCGTATCCCCCTGAGGCGGGGTGGCCCAAAAGGAAAAACGAAAGTTTCTCCTTTACATTTAGTAATAAAATACATGAGAAGGTTTACTAGCCCCTGCTCCTGGCATTTAGTTGCCTCTTACAAAATACAAAACATCCACACTTATAATTGTACCTACTACAATTCACAGAACACTAGGCTCAAATATAACACTGTGTATGCCACTACGATTCTTAATATCTCTCAAACCAACCTTTGCTGGCTTTAAATTCACCAATATGAGCACTAGTTCCAGGCATTTTTCCCTGTTCACCTGGGTGTTAGTGGACTGGTGTGGGTTGCATCCTGGGAGACAAGATTAAGGACCCCAATGGAAATAAGTTAGACAGTCTTCGATGACACTGACTTTTTTGGGTTATCCTGGGTGGCAAATCCTCTGGGGTTAATTGTTTCTTGGTATTCTCAATAAGCCACACCAACAACGGTGCTACAGCAGCAGCAGCAGCTGACGGTGGTGCAGCAGCAACAGACGATGCTACAGCAGCAGCAGACGATGCTACAGCAGCAACAGACGATGTTACAGCAGCAGCAGACGATGCTACAGCAGCAGCAGCAGCTGACGGTGGTACAGCAGCAACAGACGATGCTACAGCAGCAACAGACGATGTTACAGCAGCAGCAGACGATGCTACAGCAGCAGCAGCAGCTGACGGTGGTACAGCAGCAACAGACGACGCTACAGCAGCAACAGACGATGTTACAGCAGCAGCAGACGATGCTACAGCAGCAGCAGCAGCTGACAGTGCAGCAGCAGCAGCAGCTGTACCACCAATAGTAGCGATGGTTGATTGGGGTTTATTATACAACCTGGCCAGCTCGGAGACACGCACTCCACTTTCATACTTATCAATGATCTTTTTCTTCATCTCTATTGTAATTCTCACCCTTATTGCTGTAGGGTTGGCACTAGAAGCTTTCTTGGGGCCCATGGTCACTTATTTTTCCAGAAAAAGCACCGAAAACACTGTAATAATACGAAATATTCCGATTGTATGCTTGGATGTTACCGCGGAGGCTGGCTGGTAAACAATGCCACCGGCGGAACATGTGAGCGTGGCTCAGGCCGCACATTGGACGCGTCTCGGACGAAAATGGGTTTGAGCGGGTTTTTAAGCGGTATGTGAGGCAAAATTTTGGCGATTAAAGCAAGCGGTATGCGGATTAATCGCTATGTGATGCCATCGGTATGCGGGGGTCCACTGTACTTTCATTACGTGCTACATCATACCTTGTATATTTATTTATCCTCTTTTTCATAAAATATGTATTACTTATTACCAAATTTCTTTCTACACATAGCTCAATTAAAGGCTCCCCATTTACATTTACCCCTGGCACCCCAAATTTACCTACTACTCCCTCCATAACATTTTTACCCACTTTAGCATTGAAATCCCCAACCACCATTACTCTCACACTTGATTCAAAACTCCCCACGCATTCACTCAACATTTCCCAGAATCTCTCTCTCTCCTCTACACTTCTTTCTTCTCCAGGTGCATACATGCTTACTATAACCCACTTTTCACATCCAATCTTTATTTTACTCCACATAATCCTTGAATTTATGCACTTGTAGTCCCTCTTTTCCTGCCATAGCTTATCCTTCAACATTATTGCTACTCCTTCTTTAGCTCTAACTCTATTTGAAACCCCTGACCTAATCCCATTCATTCCTCTCCATTGAAACTCTCCCACCCCCTTCAGCTTTGTTTCACTTAAAGCCAGGACATCCAGTTTTTTCTCATTCATAACATCCACAATCATCTCTTTCTTATCATTTGCACAACATCCACGCACATTCAGACTTCCCACTTTGACAATTTTCTTCTTCTTATTCTTTTTAGTAATCTTTACAGGAAAAGGGGGTTACTAGCCCATTGTTCCCGGCATTTTAGTTGACTTTTACAACACGCATGGCTTACGGAGGAAAGATTCTTATTCCACTTCCCCATGGATATAAAAGGAAAAGTAATAAGACCAAGAACTATTAAGATAAAATCAAAGAAAACTCAGATGAGTGTGTATAAATAAACGTGTACATGTATGTGTAGTGTGACCTAAGTGTAAGTAGAAGTAGCAAGACGTACCTGTAATCTTGCATATTTATGAGACAGACAAAAGACACCAGCAATCCTACCATCATGTAAAACAATTACAGGCTTTCGTTTTACACTCACTTGGCAGGACGGTAGTACCTCCCTGGGTGGTTGCTGTCTACCAACCTAAATCCATAAATGCAATAAAAACTTCCCTACCTTTATCTAAATACTGTTCACATATATGCTTCAATGTAAGCACTTGATCTACACATCCCCTACCCACTCTGAAGCCTCCTTGCTCATCTGCAATCCTAAATTCTGTCTTACCTCTAATTCTTTCAATTATAACCCTACTGTATACTTTTCCTGGTATACTCAGTAAACTTATTCCTCTATAATTTTTACAATCTCTTTTGTCCCCTTTCCCTTTATATAAAGGGATTATACATGCTCTCTGCCAATCCCTAGGTACCTTCCCCTCTTTCATACATTTATTAAACAAAAGTACCAACCACTCCAACACTATAATCCACCCTGCTTTTAACATTTCTGTCATGATCCCATCAGTCCCAGCTGCTTTACCTCCTTTCATTCTACGTAATGCCTCACGTACCTCCCCCACACTTATATTCTGCTCTTCTTCACTCCTAAAAGATGGTATACCTCCCTGGCCAGTGCATGAAATTACCGCCTCCCTTTCTTCCTCAACATTTAAAAGTTCCTCAAAATATTCTCGCCATCTACCTAATACCTCCATCTCCCCATCTACTAACCCCCCTACTCTGTTTTTAACTAACAAATCCATACTTTCCTAAGGCTTTATTAACTTGTTTAACTCACTCCAAAATTTTTTCTTATTTTCATTAAAATTTCTTGACAGTGCCTCTCCCACTCTATCATCTGCTCTCCTTTTGCACTCTCTCACCATTCTCTTCACCTTTCTTTTACTCTCCATATACTCTGCTCTTCTTATAACACTTCTGCTTTGTAAAAACCTCTCATAAGCTACCTTTTTCTCTTTTATCACACCCTTTACTTCATCATTCCACCAATCACTCCTCTTTCCTCCTGCCCCCACCCTCCTATAACCACAAGCTTCTGCCCCACATTCTAATATATGTCATTATAAGCATATCTCATATACTGGAAGACATCAGAAATCATTAAGATTGAAATACATTACCCTAGTGCTTCAGTTCCAGTAAGAGAAAGAGTATGAAATATTTACCATCATGTGAGGAAGAAAGGATCGCTCGACCACTCTGTGTAAAAGTGAGACCCGTCACTGCACCCGTGTGCTCCGAGAATGTCACAAAGCTGAAGGAAGACTGAGTTGACCACAATTTAACCTGTTGAAACAGTTATACATTAATAGTTATAAAATAGAAACCACTGAATATTCAGTTTGCCTAAATGAGAAAAATAATCTATGGAAAGTACAATTTATAAAGCAAGTAACATCAATGGAAGGTACCGTATTTTATGGCACTGGAGATGCTATTTTCTTCCCAAAATAAGTCTTAATTAAGTCAGATGGACTACGGGTAGTATCAGTAGGCTAATTCATCTGTTTATCATCAAAACACCCGTATATAATATTTTCACTCACCTTAAACAATCCTTTCATTCTCCAGACCCCCAATCTGAAACTTGTCCACACTGTCCAAGAATTTTCATATAAAACAAAAAAAGTTACTTTTTCTTTTGAAATGGCAGAGAATTTTTTCTGAAGGTAATAAAAGAAAAAGTACAAAATTTGATGGAAGACTTACAAAATTACATTTTCACAAACTTTGCCGTGTCAGTGATATTTACATATTACAGATTTTGCCTATTTTGAGTCCTATTTTAGGCCTATTACATTGTTCCAGTAGATCAAGTTCTTATCTATTTCGCTAGTATGACTTCTATTTTATCAACTGAGCATAAGACACCATCCAATCAACTATTTTAACTACTCAGTAAAGTGATCAGAATTTGGTAGTTTGGCCAGTTTCACACGAATTTCAAAATATTCCAAAACAGGGTGCATAATAAACAATGCAAGCATTCCTGGCACTAAAATAACAATTCCTCTATTCACTAGCTATATTCCTAGCTGTGAATTTTTATTCACAGAATTTTTAATCACAAAAAATAATAGATTTACTGTTATGCATTACTGCAATAACTGTATAAAATGACAGCGCATTCATGAATGCATTATCAGACCGACCAGTTGAACACACATTGGATGAGTGAGGTGATCTATTTACCCTGGAATATTGGCAAAAATCAAACATTCCAGTTACTTTGAGCTGAATTTCAAGCTACTTTCAGTCTGGTAACCAATCAAAATCATCTCTATTCCTGTAATACGTCTTCCATTCTGTCAAAAGAGACCAAGAAACCTAGAACACAACCATAAAAAACATACACAAATACACTGCAAAATTGCTATTTTATACCAAAAACACAGTCGCAGTTTTTTCCTATTATGGACTATGTGGAACAGGATTATCTTTATTTGGTGCACACTTACCACATCGACCCATTCTCTCAGATCTTGCCCCAAATTTACTGCTCACTGCTTATCTGAGTAAGCTGAGCTCATCACGTAGAACTATGTCATGCACAGAGACTGCAATCCCATAGAACTACAGCACAGACAATGAACGGATCATTATCAGATATAAAAAGCTACAGCTTGCAAGCCAGTGTTGGTGCCATAATATTATACCAAAATTCTAGCAGTTTCCAATCTTGCAGAAGAAAGCTGGTAGGCCTACATATGAGAGAATGGGTCTGAGTGGTCAGTGCGAGCAGTATAAAAAAATTCTGCAGCATGCAGTGCACAATGAGAAAAAAAAATGAGAAAAAAAACACTGACTTTGCAGTGCATTTTTGTATGGTATTTATGGTTGTTTAATCATTTTCTTGGTCTCATTTGATACAATGATAAATATATTACAGAAATAGAGATGATTTTTGAATGGTTTATGGACTAAAAATACCTTGAAACTGAGCTCAAAGTAGCAGAAATGTTCGATTTTTGCAGATGTTCAAGAGTAAACAAATCACATTACACGTCCAATACACGTCAACTGGTGGGTTTAATATGCTTTCACAAATGTGCTGATATTATTTATACCATTTTTACAAAAATTTGCAGAGGTTGCTTTAACATTTAAAATCTTCCATTTTATGGGTAAAAAAAAATTAAATTAGGGAAAAGAAAAAGGCAAATTTCCAGGGGGGGGCCTGGATAGTAAATAAATGAACAGAGAAAAGGGTTTTTTATTGCTGGGAAATTTTTGGACTTTTAAATTTTTTGAACCCTTTTTGAAATTGGCCTTATTTGAATGAAATTGGTATAAAAAGGGCCCCCAAACCCAAATTTTCTGATCACTTTTTTATGTATTTGCCCCCCAGGTTAAAGGGGGTTTTCTTTTACCCCATTGTTTAAAAACCCCAATGGAGTTTAAACCCCCCCCAAAAAAGCTTTTGAGTTATGAGTTTTATTTGCCCTAAAAACAAGGGGAATTGGCCTAAATGGGGGTCAAAGGGGGCAAATCCCCGATGAGAAAATTATTGCTGAGCCACCTAACTTGACAAGAGCAAATTACATAGGTTTTCCACCCAAATTTTTCCTATTTTGGGGGTTAAATACCTTTGGGGAAATTTTTTTTTAAAAAATCTTTTTATACAAAAAAATTTTTTTTTTTTTTTTTTTAATTCCCTTCAACCGGCGGAAAAGGTCTGTGAAAGCAAGGGTCCCCGACAGTAAAAGGTTTTTAAACCCCTTTCGGGTCCCCAGGCCTCTCTGAGACTTGTTCTCGGGGGCCTAAAAATTTAAAAAAAAAAAAAAAAAAAAAAAAAATTTTCTTATAAAAAGATGGGAATTTTTTTTCCCCAAATCTTTTAATGCCCACCAAAAAGTATAAAATTTTGAGGGGAAAAACTTACGGAATTTGCTTAGCAAAGTTAGCGGTCTCGCGATGTTTACTTTCGGCGTTTTTAACCCCCATTTTGAGCCTATTTTCGGCCCCTTCCAGTGTTTAGTCGACAAAAATTCAAAACCCATTTTCCCCTTGGGAACCCATTTTTCCTATCGAATGAGTGCAAAAGAAACACCCTTTTTCCCCGATTTCCCCAATTTACCCCAAAAAAGGGGTTTGGAAACCGGAAATTTTCCCAAATTTCACCAAAAAATTTCCCAAAAGATGAATTTCCGAATAGGGTCCAAAATTAAACAAGAAAAAAAATTTCCCTGGCACTAAAAAAAAACAAGTTTTTTGTTTTTTAGCACACCCCCAGGCCCCTCTTATATTTTTTTGGGCTTTCCCATTCAATTTTTATTTTTTACAAAAAATTAAAAAGTTTTTTTTGTTATGCGGACTGCTGCATTAGTGAAAAAAAGGGTTTAAAAAATTTCAGCGCACTTGTAAAAAATTTAGGAGAATTTTTAAAACCCCTTTGCCTTAAATTTAAAAACGGCTTTGTTTTTTACTTTTGGGAACTTTGGAAAAATTTAAACTTTTTCCTTTCCCCCTTTCCCCCCCCCCCCCCCCCAAATCCCCCCCCCCCCCCAATTTTCCCCAAATTTAAAACAAAAAAATCATCCCATTTCTGAAATTTATGCCTTTTCCTTTCCCCTATTAAAAATGGCCCCCAGGAAAAATAGTCCCCCCTTAAATTCCCCCCAAAAACAAAAATTTTACAGTGCAAGTTGCTGTTTTAATCCATAACGGGTAAATTTTTTTTTTTTTTCTCATTATGCACTGTGTGATGCAGGATTTTTTTATACTGCACACACTGACCACATAGACCCTTTTCTTTCAAAATTTGGGCCCCTCCCCGCTTTCTCTACTGATTTGGGGCGCTGGGAATTTTTGGGCTTTCTAGAAAAGTAAAAAAACCCTGGGGCAAAACCCGTACTATTTACGGCTAAAAACCCTGAAAGGGTTAAAGAGAATTTGAAAAGGGTTTTAGTGGAGGATTTTTGGGAAGGTGTTTTAAAAAAGGGAAAAGGAAAAAAAAGTTGAAAATGAACTTATAAGAGAAAAGGGGATAAGGGTAAAAAACAATTTGGGGTAAAGAAAAATTGGAATCAAAATTGGAGGGAGGGAGAATTAAAGGAAGAAAATGTGTTGAGATTTTCTAGGAGTAGATTTTTTCGCAGATGAGTTTAAAAAAAAGATGGGGGTTTAAACCATTAAATTGATAAAGGGAAAAAATGGTGAGTGGAGTTCGAGGTACCCCTGGGGGAGAAAAAAAAACGTTATCCATGGAGACAAAGAAGGGAATGTATGAGAGTTAGTGGTATCAATGCTCTTATATGGGTGGGGAAAAAGGGGTTTGAAAAATGCTGAGCAAGGGGAGGTGGAGGAAAGTAGAGATGTGGGTGTCCAAAAGGGCAATGTGGGGTTTGTAAACATTATGCAGAGAAATTCTTAATGTGGAAATTAGGAGGGGGTTTTGGATTTAAACACCCTTTCAGTAAATTTCCCTGGTTTTTGCCATGCTGTTTGCTCTAGCTGGCACTCAGTTGAAGTTGCTTCCAAAAAGGTACAAAAAGTGGCCCCAGTTTATTTTAGAAAATGCACACATTTTGTTAAGACCCTTTCTTCTGTCCGGGGCATCTCGGAAAAATGTTCCAAAAACAGGGTCTGAGTTTTTTTTTTCATTATGCATACGTCCCTGAGGTTTTTTTTTTTTATATGGTGTACACTGAACACGACCCATTCTCTCACATGGGGGCCCCCAAACCAGTTTTTCTCCTGCTTGATTTGAAGCAGCTAGAATTTTTGGGCTCTTTAAAGACGAAATATACGCCCAAAAACATTTAAAAGGGGTTTTTAAAGGGGGGGTTTTGGGGAAATTTTGGGCCCAGGTTTGGGAAAGGGATATGTTGTGTTTCTTTTTATGTATATGCTTTTTAAACTGTTGTTTTTCCCGGGGGCACCTCTTAAAAAAACAGTGTTTTGGAGGGGTGGGGTTTGAAAAGTGTTGAAAGATGATAAAAAGTATTTTTTTTGGGGGGTTTAACCCTGCCTCGGGGGGGAGGGGCCCAAACATTTTAAAAAAAAAAAAAAAATTATGCTAGGCGGGCAAACCCCCCTTTCCCAAATTCCTCCCCAAACCAGTTCCCCGGGTTCTGTCCATAGGGGATTACACCACAACTCTCTGTTGCTAAAAGTGGACCCTGAAAAAAATGAACATTCTGGTTTGGAGGGGGAATACGAAAATACTTTCAGTAGGGGAAAGGACAAAAATTAATCGTAGGGGGGAAGGGGGCCCAAATTAAATCAGAAAGGGTGAAGAAACAATACACCCGTAGGGAGAGACAAACTTTCAGTAGAGGAAAAAA